GGAAGAAAGGAGGAGAAACCATGTGGGGGAAAAAACATCTCTCCACAATGTCTGTACACTTCGAATGTGATCACTCCAGGCTGCCTCTTATCTTGCTTTTTGGCTCAGAGCCCAGAAGGGAGGTTCCTTCAATAATTCTCTCTGATCTTGGGACATACGCCTTTCCCTAAAAGTAAATAAATAACTACAAAGCTGTGGATGCTTAGTTTCTAGTCAGAGCGAACACACTGTTCCCCACTTATTGACCTACGCAGACCCTAAGTGATGCATTATGTCAGGGTATGGCTCCAATCTTCTGCCTGGTGGAGCCTGCCATCCAAACTACTTATTGTAGAGTCAGGATTCGGCATCTCTCTTAGGGGTCCGTTGGCTGTTTCAGAGAAATGGTCTTTTGGTGGAAAGTAGAGCACTGTGAGCAAGGCTCAGAACAATGTACTTCTTGCTTCTTCTCCTGAGACAGCTCACCATTCCCATTTATGCCAGTGTGACTTGAAGTTCCACAGACGTGGCCCTGACTTTGCACACACAGTTCCCTGGAACGATACTCTGGTCTCTTTTCTCTGCTCAGCTAACTCAAGAGTCATCAGACACTCTCTAGAACAGGCTTACCTTTGCTAGGAAATTTTTCTTGTCATCCCCTCATCATTCTTACCTCCCAGCCCCAATGATTTTGACAGCCGCCTGGATAGACCAGGTCATGGACTTACCACACTGTGTCTAATCCCTAAGGCTTGTTTATTGTCTGCTTCTTCCTTTGGTCCAAGTGGCTTTCAAACCTATGTAAGAATCACATTCAACACCCCCAGGCTTACTGGACCCCAAGAATGAGGACAGGGTGTCTGTACTTTTTATTTGACCTCATCATGAGGCACAGCCAGGTCTAGGAACTTGCCCTATGTGTGTAGTTGGGCCATTCTGAGGACATTTACTCAGGACCTTGAACATGCTAGGCAAGCACCCTGCCACTGAGCCCCAGCCCCTGCACTGTCTTCTCATTTCTGTTTTCTTGCATGCTGCCAGTGCCATATAGGTTCTCAGTATGTTTCTGTGACAAACCTTCTTGTTTTCACTTCCCTCCCTCTCTAGCCTAGACCAACAATTTGCTTACGCCCTTGCCTTTACCATGCAAAACCTTAACCATTAGCTATTTCTTTTTCCATTCCTGCTGCCAGGTTGCTGGGAGCTGCTGCTGTACTTCCCCAAAGACTGTGCTGGGGCAATTTGTGAACTCTTAATTACCATAGGCCCCTAAATGAGCTTGGCAGTCCTTCTGACCCTGGGACTATTCCTGAGCCTACTGTCTCTACTTCCTCCTCCCTCTTACCACAGGCAAGAGTCCACCCTACCTCCTCCTTCACTGAGAAAACAGCAGCCATCAAATTTCTGCCCTCACCTGCATGTTTACCCACATCAGCACTATCCTCTCCTTTCCTCCTTCAGTCAGGTTCTGCCTCACCCTCCATTGTCCTTTCTTTTTGACCTCTCCCATCATAAAGGAAAAACAAACCTCTTGACTCTGCATCCTTTTCCCCTATTTTTGCCTTCCCTCCCTTTGAGGGTCTTGAAGGTATTCTAGATTTAGCCCCATCTTTTCACCTTCTTTCCCTCTCCTGCCCTCAGCAAAATGGCTCTGCATCCCTGACCCACCGGAATGATGGTGCTGAAGACAAGGTCACCAGCAATCTCCTCGGAAAGCTCTGAGGCCCTCTTCATCCCTCATCTTGCTTAACTGCTTAACTGCACCAGATTCTGCTGTTTGTAGCCTTTTCAAAATCTCTTCGCCCCTTGATTTCTATGACACCACATTTCTTGTTCTCCTGCTGTGTCTTTGGTGACTTCCTGCCAGTTGCTTTCCTCGTATCCCCTCTTCCAAATGACCTTTACATGTGAGTGGTTCTTGGGCATTCCTTCTTGGTACAATCCTCTTCTTACTCCATGGATTTTCTCTCTGGGCAATTCTATCATGCCCCCTATTTTTTTTTGTGTGTGGTGCTGTGAATTGAACTGAGGGCCTTGTGCACACCAGGCAAATACTCAACCATTGAGCTACGTCCCTAGCCCTACCTTTGGTTTAATAAACACCTCTAGGCCAGTAAGTCCTTAATGTAACTTCAGCCCAGCTCACTCTTCTGAACAACAGACCTATACAACAACTTGCCATTGGACGTGTCTTTGAGCTGCTTCTCTTTCTGTGCCCTCATCTTAATGAATGGGATCACTATCCCCTTAGCTTCTGATACAAGAAACCTGGATGTCCTCCCTGAATTCTTCAAGTTCCACCAGCTCCTATGCAGAATATTTTTTGAGCAACTCTCAAGTCAAATCCATCCTGTCTCCACATCTTTAGTTCTAGCTGTAGCTATCTCTGCCCTGGATTTCCACAACAGCTTCTCAGGGATCTGGGTCTTCCCACTACCAATTCTCCACTATTCCCTCTGAGTTTTCTGAATAACTAGATCTTGGCATCCCCCTTCCTCAAGCCCTTCGGTGTGGTTCCCCACTGTCCTCTGGCTGAAGTTCAAATTCTTTAGCAAATTCTAGCAGTCCTAGTCTCTGTGTCTCATTTCTTGCTCATTGACTCCATGAATTACCCATGACAAACCACTGTCAGCCTTACAGAAGCATGATGCCCTTGTCCAGCATGAGCCTCTGCACATTTCATTCCCTTCACCCAGAAAGACCGTTCTTCTCACCCCATCTGCTATGTCTTCAAGTCTCAGTCTAACCTCAGTCCTTCTAGAAAGCTGACCTCTAGCGTATGTGGATTGTCTCTATGATGGGGTCTTACAGTACCTTAAGCTCTCCATGACTCTCTGAATATTTATTTATAAAGTCCTTGGGGTTGATGACTGTGTCTTCTTTTACAGCATATTCTGTGTCTAGCAGATGCTAGACACATAGTAGTGCTCAGTGTCTACTGAAAGAGTAAAAGATATGGGAAAGGAACATCTCCTCTTTCTGGAGGCAATAAATTGCATGTTGTTTCACTACCTGCTCTGGGCAGATTATATTATTATAACAATGACACAGGATGATTTGGAGAGCAACTCCTCCTAAAGAAACTGGATAGACTGCAGAAATGAAAGTACCTCTGAAGTGGAGACTAGCTTGTGGATGCTGACACATGGCACTACCACCAGGCCACATGCAGGAGGGAAGGGAGCCTTCAGCACCATTTGCCTGGGCTCATCACATGGATGGGATGGCATGAGACAGAGCTGCTGTGAAGCACAGTTCCCATTTGTTCCACAGCTTCTCTAATGTTACAGCATTATAGAAGTAACTCTGGGTGATAGTCTTGCCTCTGTCCACTACTTTATAAATTACCTCAAGCAGTACCCTCCACTATGGATTTGGCAGTGGAAATAGCCAGTACAGTTTCTAAAATAGGGTTAATGCAAATTCATTAATCACTTCCCTAATCATGACTTACTATAGGGTTGGGGATTCAGAGAACTTGTCTAGCATATGTGAGGTCCTGGGTTCAATTGCCAGCACTGAAAAACAACAACAAAAAAACTGTTACACACCTACTACATGCCAGGTGGTTCTATGTACTAAGAATCCTGCAGTGAACATGTCAGACCAGGTTGCAATGTCTGTCTGTAAGTAAGGGGTAAACTACAATGGTCTCTCCCAGCTCTTACCTAAGACACCCCCTTTGACAGATGCAAATCAATTTATGCACAGAAGGCTAGAGGCAAAGCATGGTAAAGGATTAAGCTCCAACCTTGCTCCTCCTTCTCATCCCTAGGGGCCACTGCCCTCCCAAACTCAGCTGTGGGAAAACAGAAAAAGATCTGGTATCTGCAACACAAGATTTAACACAAGATTTAACTCTCCTAAGTACCTGTTACTTGAGACTTTTATCTCTTTTGTGGAATGAAGGGTTTTGTCTTGGTTGGAACTTTAGGCAATTATAGGGAGGCCTGGCAAGATTTTAGACAAAGTTAGGTGCCTTGGCAAAAGGACAGGGAGAAGCAGAGTGGCCCTCTCCTCAGCATAGTGTCATAGTGTCTCCTAGGTTTGCCTGAAAGAAGAGGTCCCTGAACAGGCTTCTTCCCTTCCTTTGGATGGCAGGTATGTGTTAGTTATAGCTCCTTTCCTTTATAGAGGTAAAGGACTTCAGCTTTTTTTTTTTTGAGACAGGGTCTCACTTTGTGGCCCAGGCTGGCCTCAAACTCACAATCCTCTTGCCTCAGCCTCTCGAGTACTAGGACATAGGTGGGCATCACAATGCCTGCTGTTTAGGTTCTCAACCTTAATGCCCAAAGTTTGTACCACTTTAGTATCTGGTAGCCTGATAGGGAACAGAGGATTCAAGGGCTCCCAACCATGCTGGGGGAAGGGAATCCATAGGGTTGCAAGTAAATGAGCAGAGAGGTCCTCAGGTCAGGAACCTGAGGTACAGCTCCAGACCACTGTTATTCCAGATGAGTGTCAGGTATGGGACAAGGAGAACAGACAATACTCTAAAGTGTACCAGAGGAAACTCTGGACTGATAGCTGAGCAAAGCTGTGGGCACCTGTAGTCCCAACTACTTGAGAAACTGAAGCAGGAGGATCACTTGAACCTAGGAATTTGGGACCAGTCTGGGCAACATGGCAAATATATATATATATATATATATATATTTTTTTTTTTTTTTTTTGCGGTACTGGGGTTTGAACTCAGGGCCGATTTTGTAATGGATTTTTTTGACATAGGGTCTTGCAAACTATTTGCCTGGGCTGGGTTCGAACCTTGATCCTCCTGAGTAGCTAGGATTATAGATGTGAGCCACTGGTGCCCAGCTGTGAGACCCCATATTAAACAAAAATTCCCCACAAAATTCTGAACTTTAATACTGACACTGGATAATTAAATACGAAGTTAAAAAGTGAAATTTTTGAGTACATAAAAATAAAACCTGGGCTGGCGGAGTGGCTCAAGCAATAATAGTGCCTGTCTAGCAATTGTGAGGCTCTAAATTCAAACCCCAATACTACAAAAAAAAAAAAATTAAAAAAAAAAAACCCCAGCTATTAAGTTTACCATTTATGTCTCATTACCTTAGGAGGATATGTGGAAACTGACATATGGCTAATTCCTGCTGGCTCTGGAAGGAAGCTGTTCCTCTCCTGTGTTTGACCCTTTCTTACCAACCCTGAGGTGAGGAGGTACAGGAGAAAAGAGGGTAGTGGCAAGGCTTTCTTTTTAGGTAGGTAATTCATTTTAGTAATAAATGGCTCTGGGTTAGGTTCAGTGGCACACAGTATGGTGCTTCTGAAAGAATCTCAGCTTTGGAGTCTGGTAGACATGAGTCCAAATCCAAACTTGGCTAATCTTAGCTGTGTGGTCCTGCTTGGAGATGCTTGGAGCTTCAAGGTCCTCTTTTATGTTAGGAGTATTACATATCTTGCAATGCTACTGAAAAAGATTGTAATAAACACTTGTTAGTGACTAGCACATAGTAAGTGCACAGGAGATGACAGGTGAGCCTAAAGCATGGTGACAGGATGAGACATAATGGCCGACAGGTGCAAAGTGGAAGGGGCCATCTTCAAAAAATTGTTGAGGGTCCTGTTCTTGGTAGGACTCAAGAAGTGGCTGAATGACCCATGTGAAAGGTTCACATTGAAAGCATTTCAGAGAGCATTTCTGTTCACCTCCAAGATCTCTTTAATTTCTAAGATTATATAAAGAAATGTCCAAATTAGTGAGAAAACATTCTGGAATAAGTTCAAACCTAAAGGGCAAAGATGAGGTAATACAATATAGGTGCTGCAGTTACATGAAATGAGAGAAAGGTAGAAATTGCTTCTATGTTGCCACTGAATATCAGATTTAAAGATTAAGACCAGGCATTTAAAATTTTTCCCTTGGTAATCAGCGAGATGATTGATGCTAAATAGTAGTTAGGAAACAATTGCTTTCACACATGGATCTTGTTTGTTGAGCAACATAGATGGAATAGATGGGTTTGTGGGCTGGCACTTCTTGTGCTCTGTTGTGCTTCAGAGGCAAGAATAGTGGCTGAATTATCAAGCAAGTTCCAAGATTTTCTTCTGCCTGAGCTATGATGTGACCAGGAGCAGATTTTTATCTTCACCGGGATCAGAGTTTACTGACTAAATGAGGTCACCACCTCCCTGTCAGGTAGTATATGTTAAACCTTTTGGGCTCCTGAGATTAAGGCCAATTGCTCCTGGGATTATATTTATTTATAATTAAGCAACTCTAAGCAGATCAGGTGTAAGTTATTAATGAGGAGAAAAACAAACGCTGGCTAAGGCAAAATATGCATATAATATGATCAATGATTCTCCTAATTGTGCAGTGTGGATATTGGGATCCCATCAAGAACAAAAAAACCACCTCTTAGCCTTCCAGCTTTTCCTTTATCATGCTATAAAAACCTACTCAGATATGGATAAGTTCAGACACTCCTGAAAAGACAAATATCTCTGAAGTAAAAAAAATCTTAGAAGAAATAATTTTTAGAGTCATAAAGAAGTAATTTGACCTTTTCTCCCTATCTCAAATCCCTAAGGCTTTTAAAGGGTAGACACTAATCTGGAGCTCTTTCAAAGAATTTCTTTGCTACAGAACTGCTTGAATCCACCAATGAATTCAACAGAGGATTTCTTCTCTTCCGCTTTTTTGGTTTTTGAGAAAAGGTCTCACTGTGTAGTCCAAGCTGAACTTGAATTCACAATCCTCCTGCCTCAGCATTTCAAGTGCTGGGAATATGGGTATGCACACCACACCTGGCTTACATGGAGGATTTCTGTATCTAAAAGGATTTTTCTCACTTCTTTATTTTTTATAAGTTCTGCAACATTCAAAAAACAACAGGTTTTTTTTTTTTTGGCTACAATTTGTCATATCCAGAAAGTCAGAAAAAGTATGAATCTTTAGTGTTAGATGTCTAAAAACAGAAAAAAAAATGAATAGCTAAAAATTCCTCATTTGGACAGGTCCTGAGTTAACGTCACATTCATCTTCGAAAAGAAATATCCTGACCTTGGACTTGACTGGTGAAAATTTCCAGGCACTCTATGAATGATAGGATACATGCCATTCAGTTGGCCAATTCTGGCATGTGAAATTTTTATAAACATCTTTTAAGCCCAAACCTCCTTGTTCACTGAAACCAATTGTTCTAATCTGACTCCCAATACTTCTTAAAACAAATGAACAAATAAAGAAAAATTCGCCCTGCGGGAGCACACATTTAAGTCTTTGTTGCCTGTGGACAGATACAGGGAAACCACATATGGATATGAATTAGCAGTTCTATGATGCAGCTGTGAATCGCTGAGTGGCCGTAAGCTTTAAGAATGTGCCTTACTGGCTCTGCACTGGCTGTGTCCAGAGGTGACCATCGAGGCAACATCAACCTGAAGAGGGTGTGAACCCCAGCAACTGCTCAATGGGTTTAAACCGCCACTCATCGGCCTCCAGCTCTTCTACCAAACCAGCTAGTTTTTCCATCCGAGCAACTTGCTGATCTGTAGGGTCAAGGAAGTAATATAATACAACAATGTATTTCCCATGACACTATCACAAATCACCAACATAATTACTGTTTAAGTACTTTCTAGATGATTTTCCCCCTCAGTAGTCTAGTAGGAGGGGTCTTACTCTATGTTCATCAGAAGGCTTTAATCTTCAAATAAACAAAACATTCCTAATCATTCTGCATTCATTGTCACTATTTTTGGTGGTTTTGGAGACTGAACCCAGTGCCTTGTATATACTAGGCAAGTGCTCTACCACTGAGCTATACACAGTTGAAACTTGGAATATTCCAGATCAAAATAAGCATTCACTTAATCATTCTGAGTACTTGCAAGTGTAATGTGTATTGTTCTCTTGTAGGTGTTACGTCATCAAGGGTCATGAGCTTCCTCATCTTCCTTCTCTCCAATTACATCACAGCAGCCTCAGTGGTCAAGCTTCTTATAGAGGGGACAATCTGCACTCTATTTCTTTCAGTCTAAAAAGTTTCTCACATTAAAAGTAATTTTTAAATATAGTTATTATAGGCTGGGGATGCAGTTCAGTGGTAGAGTACTTACCTTGCATGTGCCAGGTCCCTGGGTTTCATCCCCAGCACCACAAAACAAGAAAAACAATTATCACATTTTTAGTATGTGCTACATTTTTCTTTTTTTTTTTGGTGGTACCAGGGTTTGAATTCAGGGATTCATGCTTGCTAGGCAGGCGCTCTACTGCTTGAGCCACTCTGCCAGCCCTGTGCTGTACTCTTCACCCTCTGTGCCATTTTGATTCAATCCAGGGAGAGGCCACTGTAGCTTTCTCCCCTACATACTGCTTTCCATGGAGAAATATTTTGGAGGGTGAGCACAGCTCCCTGACATATAATGAAGACTTCATTAGGCAGAGGGTGTAGAATATGTGCCACGAGGGTCTCAGAGTCCAGGCAGACAATGAGACATTACATAAACACTCGAAAGTGAAGAATATGACGGTAATTCACAGAGGACAACAAAGGGAGGCTTCTGAAAGGAGGGGAAGAAGTAACAGGAGAACAGGAAGTCTGACTCCCTGAGAGAGCCAACCTCTCCGACTTCAACTTTATTGTTATTATTTTCTTTTTGGTGGCACTGGGGTTGAGCTAGGGCCTCACACTTGCTAGGCAGGCATTCTACCACTGAGCCACTCTGGCAGCCCTGTTTTTGTGTTGGGTATTTTCCTTCTTTTTTTTTTTTGTGGTTTTGGGGTTTGAACTCTGGGCCTATACATTCGTCTACTACATCAGTTCTTTTGTTGTAATGGGTTTTTTTAAGATAGGGTCTCCTGAAGTAGTTGCCCTGGCTGGCTTTGAACCATGATCTACTTTATCTCTGCCTCCTGAGTAGCTAAGATTATAGGCATGAGCCACTGGAACCTGGTTTGTGTTGGGTATTTTTGAGATAGGGTCTTGGGAACTATTTTCCTGGGCTGGCTTCAAACCTCAGTCCTCCTGATCTCTGCCTCCTGAGCAGCTAAGATTACAGGCGTGAGCCACCAATGTCTGGCTCTGACATCAACTTTAAGCCTCAATGTAGACACTCTGTCTGGATTAAGACCTTAGAATGTTCTTTATTTAGGAAGTACATTAAATAGCCTTGCTGAGTTTGGAGGTTTTTGTCACAACACACTGGGTTTTCAGATAAAAGCCAAATCACACTGACCTTTCAGAATCCTCTTTCCTCAGCCCCCATAAATTCATTTTCATAGTCAAGTACATCACACTGTTGTTCTTACCATGTTTCACCTGTTTAAGCGTGGATGCCACTTGATAACTGAACACGGACTCACAGAGGAATCTCTCAGAGCCATCTACAACAAAAGAGGAAAAGGTTTCGGTCTGCTCTAAGGGTTTCATGGCTTCTGATAAATCAAGTAAACCTGCCCATTCTTTTCCTTGCTTTTAAATGTGAGGTCTAAGCCATCTGCAATGTTAACAAAGAAGGTTTCTATTTCATTTAGAACAGTGCTCTGTCATAAAAGCTACTTTTTCTACACCTAGAATATTAAAATAGTTCCTCTACTTGTTTAAGTGTTTAAAAATAGTGTTTTAAAAAACAAAACCAAGAAACCTCAGTCGGACGTCCTGGTCAACACTCTGCCCACCCCCAACCTCACAGTTTCTTAATGTTCCCCTCTTCTGTACATCAGGCAAACACTGGCAGCTGACACATTTGGCCACTTGGCACTTGTGCTATCAAAATACAAAAGTATGCTAAAACTCCCAAGCCATTTTCATTCTAAAAAGCAAAGCTGAGGGAAAAAGAGTTGTTGATTTTTGATGTATCATATTACATCATTATGACCCTCACAAAACGCTGCTGGGAAAGTTCATTCTGTAAACGCAAATTGTATCCTTGATTTTCCAGCTGAACCAAAACACTGCAATTTGGATGATGATAAGAGTATGGTGCAAGTTCAGAACCTAGAACTGAAATGGTGCCAAGAACTGCCAACAAGAAGGTGGCTAACCCGGTCACCACAACTCTGGGAAGATGACTATGAAACCTAAGCTAGCATGTGTTAATCCTTGTCAGGCAAAAGCTGATACAGCAAGACATATCCCCAAAGATAGCTAATCATGTAGGAAAATTTTATTTTTTAAAGAACGACAGAAACCATTTGGGCCTTGTATCTTATTGTAAAAATTCTAAAACAAATGCAAAGAGAGAACACAGTTGCCTTTCTCAGTAGCTTATGACAGCACTACTAAATGTCAAGCATTTACCCATCAATCCTGGGTTGGTGTCAGCCAGCTATTAAGTCACAGGGAGATTAGAATTACACATTCTGACCTCATGCGGAGTTTCACACTTGGCAACCCTTCTTTCAGAAGTTATGGTAATCAATAAGAAAAGCTACAGATATTGTATACAAATGGCTGGAACATACGCCAAGAGGGCTTCCTTTCAATATATCTTCAAATTGAGGCAAAAAAACCCCAAAAAAACAAAAAAGGAAGTATAAGTCCTAGGATGTATATTCTTCAAGGAGAGTTACCTCTGTACATTTAAGCTTTCCTCTCCCCCTCCTTCACTCCCTCTGTCCCTTCCTTTGTGATGCTGGGGTCTAAACCCAGGGCCTTTACCACTGAGCTATACCCTTGCTAAACTGTTCAATTTAAAAATCTAAGTAAGCTGATGACATTACTGAGTTTTTTTTTTTTTAGGCAATAGCAAATGGCAGCACATAAGCTATGAGTTCCAATAAGGGAAGTGGGACTACTGTGAACATTTGACACCAATGATACAATTTATTATAGCTCTTCCATGTAAATGATATGCTGGCATTCATTACCCTATTCATATCTTTGCTTAAAGAGTTCAGTTACAACTCAAGTTCTACTTTAGAAACAGCAAAGTGTAGAGAAGTAGAGCTTATGTCCTAGGTGGCTTGATCCTGAAGTTTAGGATCTCACATGAGGCAGTGAGGATCAAGCCAACATGTTCAGGGAAACTCCTGGAAATGCTGCCTCCTACTTATATTTCATCGTGGGCACTATTAGATAAAATGCTCAAGTCATGACTTTTGCATCTTTTCCTTAGTAATGGACTTCAAAGCAAAAAGATGTAAGCAAACCTTTCAAAAACTATCTGGGTGTCACACTATAGGCCTATGAACATACTTTTGCTGATTTTCAGCTCTGTATTAAGCACAAAGCCCATTGCTTATTAGCCACATCCTATTAGATGTAATATCTGTACCAATATAAAGTTTGGAATTTCTCCAGAGGAGTCAGCTGGGGCAATCTGTCTTCTATTTAGACATTGTAATGAAACCCTTTGTAACACACCAAGTAACAATACATCAGCTTTCCTCTTAAACAAGTGAAGGTTATAAATAGTTAAAAGTTCAGTAAATTGCCCAAACCTAACACTATCACCAACTCAAATAAATACAATGCTAATAAATTCACTTAAAGGAAAGTTACCTCACAGCAGGAAATTAGACAATGCTAGGTAATTTATACTTTGGTGTCCTAGGATATCACTAAAATATAGCCACATCTATATTTGGGTTGGAAGGCAGTCTCTAATTTGCTAATAACTGGGTGAGGACAACTGTAGCCCAGGGCAGGGGAATGATAAAACCTGCTGTGTGCTACTGTGTGGGCTGTTTATCAGAAAACAGATGCACCAAAAAGTTAATCCACAAGGTTAACTACAGGTTATTTGTATCTGGTATCCTAGACTTAAGAGGATGCAATATCAAGTTGAACTTGAGAAGACTGTGAACAACATCCGATCATGACTCCCAATTGCTTTGTTCCTTGCTCTTTTTTTTTCTTGCAGCACTTTAGCTTGAACTCAGGGCCTTACACTTGTTGGGCAAGTGCTCTACCACTTAAGTCACTCCACCAGTGCTGTTCCTTGCTCTCAATAGGCAACTTTCCTTACTCTATTTCCGTATTCTATTAAGTTGTCGTAAGAAAAATGTTTTGGTGCATGCATGTTAGATTAACTGCATAGCAGTATCACCGACACAATGCTTCCAAATCTAACATCCTTACATTTAGGAGTATTATATGGGAGGATGTACACAGATCATATGCAAATACTATGACATTTTAAGTAAGAAATTTGAGCATCTGCTGATTTTAGTATCCACGGGTACAGAGGGGTGAGGAGTGGGAGGTGATGTGGTGGAACCAATTCCTTGCAGGTACTGAAGAATGACTGTATGTTTTTCAATATGTATGCATTTTTGGTGGTATTGGGGTTCGAATTCAAGGCCTTCTGTTTGCTAAGCAGGTACCCTCCCATTTGAGCCATGCCCCTAATCTTTTTTTTTTTGGTGGCACAGGAATTTGAATTCAGGGGCTCACACTTGCTAGGCAGGTACTCTAATGCTTGAGCAACTCTGCCAGCTTTTTTAGTGATTTTTTTTTTTTTTTCAAGATAGGGTCTCAGGAATTATTTGCCTCAGGCTGGCTTTGAACTGAGATCTCTATCTCTGCCTCCTAAGAGCTGTGATGCCCTGTCCCATCCCTTTTTGCTTAAGGCATTTTTGGAATGTCTAGGGATCTCCCTATCTTTGTTCTGCATAGTTAGGATGATGCACCATCACACCAAGCTTTCATTGGTTGAGATGGGGGGTCTCAAAAATTTTTTGCCTGGGGTGGCCTGGAATGATAATTTTCCTGTTCTCTACCTCCCAAGTAGCTGAGTAGCTAGGATTATAGGTGTGAGCCACCAAGCCCAGCTCAGTTTAATATTTTTTGACTTTTCTTTTTTTTTGCAGTTCTGGAGTTTGAACTCAGGGTCTGTTCTTACTAGGCAGATGCTCTTACCACTTGAGCCACACCTCCAGCCCTCAATTTAATATTCATTTTTTTCCCCTCGGTGGTACTGTGGTTTGAACTCAGGGCCTCATGCTTGCCAGGCAAGTGCCCTACCATTTGAGCTACACACTCAATTTAATATTCTTGATATTAAATAATATTTAATATACTTGATTTGGCAAAGATAGTTCAAGGGATGCCATATCTAGCTGATTTTTCATAGTGCATCTTTATATGTAAGCACTAATCTTTAAGATTACTGATGAAACCTTGAAGAAGCAGAATCATAACTGTGCACTCTGAATTTAAACTTATAAATTTATTCTACAATAGAACCCAACACATTCCTCCATGAAGCAATAAAAATGGATAGATCTATGACTTGTTAGAACATCAACATTCAAATTAATCTCAGAAGCTTTCTTTTTCAATTCTTTCACATAACCAGGTGCATCTTGACAAAGAATGCTGATAGCTTTGAGACTATGGAGGCACCTCCTGTATTAAAATTCCTCTTGTAGGTAGAACTTAAATGACTTTAATCTTAGAGCACTATGATTAAGCATTGATTTCTCTTTTGCTGCTATAAAACTCATTAAGCAACTGAAGTGCTTTCAACTTTTCATTTGTTTTGCGGGAAACTTCCTTAATACTACATTTCTGCGGCATCTAACTAAAGCCATATTTGTAATGCTAGATGTGGTAAATGAGGCCCAATACTAACTTGGGTATTCAGTTAACACAAATGAAGAAAATGAAAAGATAAAGGCAGAAGGACGCATACCTCACCCACTACACTAGCTACATATGCTGCCTGGTCACCTACATCAGAACCTGTTGGAGAGGCTTATGGTCCGACAGTCTTTCTGTGTTTTCTGTTACAAGTGATTTTTCTGTTTGCCCTGGTTCTCTGGGCATGTAGCTTGGTAGAAGAGTGCTTGCCTAGCATCGTAAAGCCCTTGGGTTCAATCTCCAACACCACAAACAAAACTAAACAAAACCCAGAACCAAAAAAGAATCAGTTACAGTGTTTGGCCTGGCTTAACCCCAAACCTGCCTTTTATTATGCTTGTTATAAGTGAACAAAGATCACCCTCAAAATCTGACTCCCAACTATATTTAGTACCTTTCTCAGACATTTCCACATTAGTTTTAAAATACATTCATGTAAAATATGCAAAATTTAAAATAAAACGATCAATACATAATTTAGCAGAAAAATGTTTGATTTAAGTAGATTCTGAAGCCTTAGCAGGTTCTTTGCCAATGTTTTTCAAAATATGGGGTAAACACTACCTTTATGAGAGGGTGGGTCCTGGATATTGGTCAAAAATGAAGATTCTTATGCTATACTCAACACATTGTTAAATAAGCTCCTCAGGTGATTTTTATGCTTCCTATTAAGAATTATTCTAAGTCACGTTGGTACACACCTGTAATCCCAGCACTCAGGAGGCAGAGGCAGGAAGGATTATGAGTTCAAGGCCAGCATGGGCTACATAGTGAGACCCCACCCCCCACCCCATCTCAAAAAAAAAAAAGTATCTCTTAAAGTGACACAAATCTGATGAATTCCAGTCACCAATGCTGTTTCAGTTTAATGGCTTGTACTCTCTTTTTTAGCCAGGCAGTATGTAAATGTATGCTGAATAACATGGTGAATGACTGGATGCAAATCTGTCTCTGGTGCTCGAAAAACCACACAGCATCATCCTGCAGTGGGGCAGGGCAGTCATCTTCATATATGGTAGTGTACTACTTTTTATTTCCTCTTAGAACCCCTCTAGTGAGGGGTTACTCTAACTGTAGATTAATTATACTAGAAAAGAAAATCAGCCAGAAGCGTATTTTAAGAGCATCTGCTTAGCTAGTGCAAAGCCCTGAGTATAAAACAAACCAACAAGCAACCTCCATCCCCAGCAAAACATCAAACCTACCAATCATAGCGAGGTGGATAGGGGCCAGGATAAAGCAAACTGGAGCAGGAGCTGAAGAGAATTCCTGGCTCCAGCACTGACTCTGCCTTTAACAGGATTAAATCACTCAACTTTTCTGGATCTAAAGAAATCTAGGTGGCCTTCAATTTCCAGTCTTTTTCAGCTCTAAAATTCTGATTCTAGAGCAAGATTTGTTTTTAAAGATATCATTCTGAGATGGAGAAGAGATGAAATGTAGAACTGAAATTAGGGCAAATTCATCTCTAATCCACTTAATAGCTTCTTTACAATTAATATTCATTGCAGGTCTGAATACAATTATTCAGCAAAAAGCAGCATGAGATCACCTTCTAAGATCTCTCCAGCTCCTTTGGGGTAGGTGAAAAGGGCTTTCCGTGGTGGGGCAAGGTCTGAGACACTGAAACCAGATCCAGTGACAGAACTTCCGCTGACCCCACCAGCTGAGGAGGAGGAGGAAGAGGCAGCCATTTCCTCTGTAGAATTCTCACTTCACTGCAGAGAAAGAAAAACAGCAGTTGGCAAGTTTATAGAAGTGGGATTGACAACATTTCCTTCTAGCTTCCATAGGGCCAGCATACACTTTTATAAAGAATTAGCCTCTCTTTTTTCTGTCTTCTCTCTTCAATAATCTTTTATTGATGCCTCAGGCCAAAATGTCTCTCAGGTTTTGAAGTCTATTTAGAACACTGCTTCCTATCATTAGCAAACTTTTTATATCATTTGGGATTGATGGTGGGTGATTTATGAGTTATGAAAGGTGATAAGGTAGTGTCAAGGCAGAAATGTGACTTACGAAATAAATTACGAGGATAAAACAATCATGTGCCATAGGACAGTTTGTCTTGGATACATCCTGACCAAGCCACACCAAGAAATTCACTTATAAAAATTTTCCAAACAAGATTCCAGAATAACACTGTGTTCTGTTCCCAGGGAAGGGAAATCAGTCAGGAAATACATATTGGCACTTTCATCAAAAAAAATTTTAACCTTTTCATCCAAATGTAGTACCTAAAATTTTCACTTGGTGGCGTCCCACAACTGGAACAAGATAGCTCAAGAAATGGTCTTGGAAATCATGAATAGAGCCCCTTATGAATAGAGCAGCTGTGCGTTTAATCCTGTCATATCAAAAACCCAAATGTAAGTGAGGAAATCTGTGTGGAATACACTACTTATAAAAGTTCAAAACAAGAGCACTCATTTTAACTAAAGATTCTAAAGCGTATACCTTCTAAAAAAAAAAAAAAAGACCGAAATGGTTTAGTACCACACTGTCTAGTACAGCTTTCTGCCACTGTGGAAATATTCTAACATTCTATTTCTGCATGATCTAATACAGTAGTCACTCTTGTCATGTTGTGGCTATAAAGTGACTGAAGAACTGTATTTTCAATTTTATTTAATGTTAATTAAAATTTCAAAATAGCCACATGTGACTAGTAGCCACTGTACTGGATAGTGCAGTTTTAGTATTTAAATTAAAAAATGACTTTAGCTGATGTGGTGGCAGTTGCAGTTACTCAGAAGGCTGAGGCAGGAAAATAGCCAGTTTGAGGCCAGCCTGGAATACAAAGTAAGATCTTATCTCAAAAAACCCCAAAGACAACAACAAAAAAACCCAAACAAAAAACTCCCAGACAACAATAAAAACCTTGACTAATGGCTAATTTTGTTATGTAGATTGTAACTCAACCAAAAAAAAAAAGACTTAAAAAGGGTTTTAAAAGTGAGTTTTCTACTGTGACTTTGTTCAGAGACTGTTGCGTGTATTTTGCTGGTTGTAAAATGAACACATGTGCTATACAAAGCTGAGGGCTGGGGTGCAGCTTAGTGGCAGAGCATGTGCTTAGTATTCTTGAGTTCTTGGATGATTCCACTTTAAAGAAATTGAAACCTATATGTTTTATAAGCTTTTTTTTTGGGGTGGGTGGGGGGTCAAACTCAGAGCCCTTGCTCGGCAGGCTAGCACTCAAGTCATGCCTCAGCCCCAAAACTAAGTTGTTTTTTTTTTTTACGGTACTGGGGCTTGAACTCCGGGCCTTCACCTTGAGCCACTCCACCAGCCCTATTTTTGTGAAGGGTTTTTCAAGATAGGGTCTCATGGAACTATTTGCCTGGGCTTCGAACTGTGATCCTCCTGATCTCTGCCTCTTGAGTAGCTAGGATTACAGGCATGGGCCACTGGCACCTGGGCAAACCTGTTTTTAAAAATAGAAACAATATGAGGGAATGTTATGTAGATATAAAACCTATATATAAACAACACCCAGTTTCCTAGTAAGGCAAATGATATACTAAGTCTGAAATGCTACCTACCCCATTTCCTTAATTTTATGAAGGTGATTTGCTGCTGTCAGAGAAGCAGAGCTTGGTTTCTGATTTCATTATGTGTCTATAAGTAATACTGATTAATACTGAAGAGGGATATGTATGGGAACAGTAAGGCTACTGCTATAATTAGATTGTAAGCCTATTAAAATGCAAGTTGATTAATGACATTTTTAATATTGCTAATAGATTACTTTTCCTTTTTTCTCTGAGTTCTGATAACTTTCCAAATTGTATTCATATCCATAGAGGCAACATCTTTTCAGGTTAGATTCATAACCAATGCTTTGGACCACAGTGAGTCAAAATATAGCTTGGTAAGTTTTAAAATACTCTTTAAAAAGAACTTAAACATTAATGGACCAGGTCCAAATCTCCAAATGGATTCCTGGTGGGATTCAAATAAAGCACACAGACAACCTGGCCACCTTCTGGAGAGTAGCTCATTCTTTATTTCCCACCAGTTCAGAGTAGAACCCGCTGTGAACTGTTTATATAGCTCACCTAAGATTTAAACTCTAATCTTTTTCTTCCATTCTGATAAGTGCTCTATTTAGTTGCAAATGCTTTATACTTTATATTTTGAGATCAGCTGCTCAGCAGAGAGCCCAAGCAACTGCTAGAGTGAGAAGTTTCAAAAGCTAGCCACAGTGTGATTTCTAAACTGAATATAATTAAAGGAACTTCCTTTCATCCTACTTTCTTTCAAATTCTCAGAACTACTATCATTCCATATACAAAACAGCCAGGGTTGAAAAACGGAGCACAGAATTAGCAAAGTCTAACTTTAAATAAGCAGTTTTCTGCTGAAGTGGAAAGATACACCTAAGCAATTTCTAGTGCCGAAGATTTAAGTTCATGTACTTGCCTAGCAAGGGCAGGCTCTGAGTTCAAACCCTAGTAATGCCAGTTCTTTCTGGGTGCTGGAGATTGAATCCAGGGCCTTGCAAATGCTAGGAAGTGCTCTTCTATTGAGCTACACTCAGGACCTAGGTTATTTTGAATGCTATAAGAAAGTAGGAGTTAAACTAACAATAAATGCTAGATTTTAACTGCCCTCTGAGAGTAGGCATAAAGCCAGGCCTACAGCAAGTAAACAGCTGCACATTTAAGTAAATGGCAGCAGACTGAATTAAATGATTCACAGGAACCACAGATTCCTTAAAAGTCATCTAATCCAATTTCTTCATTTTATAGATGACAAAACAGAGGCACCAAGATAATTTCAGCTTATTTGCTGTGACATTTTAGAAGCAATGGCTTCTTGACATGTCACGTAGTTCATGCCTGTAATCCTAACTACTTTGGAGATTGAGATGGGGAGGGTTGAGGTTTGAGGCTAGCCCAGGCAAATAGTTTGCAAGACCCCATCTCCAAAATAACCAGAGCAAAATGGATGAGTGGAGGTGTGGCTCAAGCTATAGAGTGCCTGCTTTGCAACTGCAAAGCCCTTGATTCAAACCACAATCCCACCAAAAACCAAAAAAAAAAACAACCTAGAAAAAGAAAAAAACAAGCTAGAAAGAGAGGTTTTCTCTTTCTAGGTTGAATCTTGGTTTTGCTACTTACTTGCTGTGTGACTCTGGACAAATAACTTAACTTTTCTGTTTCTTAGTTATCCTATCTAAAAATGAGAACAGTAACAGAGACTGCCTATAGAGGTGTGACGAAGATTAATACATGTAAATTAACTAGAACAGTTTTGTGCTTAGTAAACACCTAATAAAGCTTAGATATCCAAAAATCAATGGACTTTACTTCTGATTTTTTTTTTTTTGACAAGTCTTTCTATGCAGCAAAGGCTTGGTATGTAGGACAAGCTGACCTCAAACTTGTGATCCTCCTGTCTCTTGCCTCCCGAGTGCTGGAGTTTCCAGGCATGGGATACAACACCCCATTACTTCTGAATCTTTTTCCCCTATGTAGATCCCAGTTTTTCAAACTTACTATGTCCCAACACAGGTTCTCATGGGAAAGTTCAAATTGCCTCCTTCTTAGAGACACAGCAAGCTCCTGGAGGCAAAAGGGTCTGCTCAGGAAGATGGAAATGCCCTCTGTTTTGCACTTCACACACTCATCACTGATCTACACACCCAGCCCTGACACTCTCACTTTAAAGTTCATTATCTTAGTAAGAATCCTGTGATTTTGCAAAGCGGGGAAAGAATTGTCTATCTTTAAGGCCTAGTACAAAACCATTGTGTTTCTTGGATGAATGATTTACAAATAACAGAATAAGGGCTAGCAGTTCAGCAAAGGTTACGCAGGGGACAGAGAGGTTTGGTGTCATGTGGATTGGCCCATCATGTTTTCTTTATCTTCTTCATTGTGCAGATCTACTTACACGATTGATGATGAAATAACCTGGGACTTTGCCCCTAACAAGGGAAACTAGGACTATTGGCTGTAGAAATCTTCATAGGAAAGCAAAGATATTTTGGGAAACACTGCGTAATTAAATATTAACTTTGTGTATGACAGGGATGACCTTTCTAGCATAGTTATGTCTATTTTCTTTCTTTTTTTTTTTCGGTGCTGTTGTTTGAACTAAGGACCTACACCTTGAGCCACTCTATTAGCCCTATTTTTATGAAGGGGTGTTTCATGATAGGGTTTCACGACTTATTTGCCCAGGCTGGCTTTGAACCAAGAGCCTTTTGATTGCTGCCTCCTGAGTAGATAAGATTACAGGCGTAAGTCACTGCCGTCTGGCAGTGATTATTACTTTCTGCTCTCCCTTAGATGCATGAAGACAAGGGCCTCCCTTCTGCCACACAGCTGGGGCTTTTTGTGTGAACAGTTTCCCTTGCCACCATCTTCTGTAAGCTCCAGTGTGAGGCCCATCAATCCTGTACCCTTGATACTAGGCAGTGCTGAAGCCAGGCTGTGATCCATGCAGAATAGAATGGCTCTTCTCTCTTGCAGCCTCTTCTCTCTTCCTGAGTATCTTCCAGGTACTCCCAATGTCCACGAGACTAACAACCCTCTTTTAGCTAAAACCTCTCCACAGGTTTGGAGCTGAATTCAGAGCCTAAAACCTCTCCACAGGTTTGGAGCTGAATTCAGAGCCTATACTCTCTACCCATTAGCTAATGGCAGTTGATCAGGCTCCTCAATTCTGCCTGCCCTTCTGCAACAACTCTTTTTTTGGGGTGGTATTGGGGTTTGAACTCAGGACCTTAAGCTTGCTAGGTAGGTGCTCTACCACTTCTGCCACACCTCCAGCTCTCTTTTTTTCAGGGAGGGTGGGTGGGAATGGGGTTTGAATTCAAGGCTTCATGCTTGCAAAGTAGGCACTCCACCCATTGAGTCAAGCTTCAGTCCATTTCGGTCTGGTTATTTTGGAGATGGGGTATCTCGAACCTGCCCTCCCTCTCTGCTCTCAAACTATGATCCTCCAGATCTTAGCCTCCCAAGTAGCTGGTGTGAGCTACCAGTGCCCAGCTCCAGCAACTCTTAAATATTCAAAACTTGCAAAGGAGCCAAGAGCTGCCAGAGCAACACAGAAACTCAGGGGCCCTCAAATTAGTCCTTGCTTACTTCTGTTAGGACGTTTCTGGCAGTTCTGACAGAAGCAAATGTTTGCTCCATCAGTAGTCCTGCAATGGAAAGGCCAGCAGATAGTCTATTCCTATTTTCTTAAAAAGATCTTGCTTTTAAAAAAAGTCTCATAAAAAAATACATGCTGGCCAGGCGCAGTGGTAAATCCCAGTATTCGGGAGGATGCTGCAGTAAAATCGCGAGTTCGAGGCCAGCCTGGACTACATAGCCAGGGAAACAAATTTTCCCATTGTGTCCCACCTACATAGCTGGACTACAATATAAATCAAATTGATGCTGCAGCTATAGCTGGGTGGAGTTGAAAGGCAGGCTGGAGAGGGAGGAGTCAGAACACCAACTGTGGCCAAATTCGCTCCCAGCCACTTTCCTACCCAGCCTAGTCCCGAGAAGCGACTCCCAGCGGTCGCCCACTGCGCAGGCGCACAACCCTCGCCCGCATGCGCACTCCGAGCTGCGGGCTGAGGAAATTCCTTTTTACACGCCTCTGCGGCAGCCTCCTGTGTCTTCTCCCACCTTCTGCATTTTCCTAGTCCCTGCAGGTAGGATCTCAGGGGTCAGCTCCCTTTCCACCCAGCTCCCGAAGGTCCTTGAATCCTCGGCCACTTACCTCAGCGGCTTAGGCCCTTCTTTTGACAGCCCCGCCCCCAGGGCCAGCGGTCGCGCTCACAACGACAAGGACGGCAGCGTGCGCGCGCCCGAGCGTGGTGGGCGTGGCCTAACGGGCGCGGGGCGGAACGCGGATGGAGAACACTTCCGGGTCCCTGACCTCCCTGGCCTTCTCGCTCTCGGTTGGTGTTCCTGCCGCATTAGAACCTTCATTCCTCACTTTGGCTTACTTGGGATTTTTTTTTTTTTTTTTTTTTGTCATTTTTATAATTCAGGGACTCAGTTCACCCCACGATATTGAAGAAAGATAACGTTTTGCCTTTTGCAGTCTCCACGAAGCAGGGTTCAATTAGTGTTCCCTTCTGCTCAGTCGCAGAAGGTACTGGAAAGAAAGGTGCAGATTGCTGTCTCACTACTGCTTCCTCCAGGCTCGTGCACTTCACATTGCAGCTTACTTATTGAAGTAGGCTTATTAAAGTCTGTTTTTGCCGAACTCATTTTTTTGGGGGGGGGGCTGCTAAAGGAAGGAGAACCAGAGTGCAATGCCATTTGAGCATTACTAATTATGCCCCCTCTTTCTCCAAGATATAGTTTGTGTTATTTTTCAAAACACAAAACCTCTCCTTGGTTCTGCGAGCAAACTACCAATTAAAGAAACCTACTTGCAGAGGGTTGGACTGAACATTAGTGTGTTGAGTAAGGATTGATCTGTTTTCTTGGGTGCTCAAGTGTTCTGGATTTCATGACTGTCCAAGCTATGTGTGGTAGGGGTGTGGATTGAGCTTAACTACAGCTAGCTCACAAGGAACCATTTTTTCCTGAATGAAGTCATTAAGCGGTGACTAGAAGCTTGACTCAGAGACGTTTACATCGTTGGGCAGTGACCTATGGAAATTGAATTTCTCTCAGCATTGTGTTAGTCTGAGAATATGTTGGCAAAGTCATATTTTAACTGCTTTCACAGGCAAGTGGGTCTGATGTTAGGTATGTATGTACAGCACCTCTAAATGTACTTAGCCGCTTCCCTGTAAGTGTAATAAATATCCCTCATTGTATTAATTATCAGACAATAGAAAGGGTGAGGCATTTGGCACATAGTTAAACATTAAAGGTTGCACTCCTTTTAGCTTAAAGTAATAAAGAGATCTCTGTACTCTTTCAAAGTTATCAGAGGGCTGTATATCAATGCCTTTTAGTCACCTTTTTTGGTGGTGATAAATTGTTCACAAGTTATTTTACTGTGTAGAGCGAACCAGGAATGCAGTTGTGTGGTGGAACATGCAGCAATTGACTTAACATAGTTTATAAATGGGCAGTTCAAAGAAAGTAGGACAATTTTGCTTAGGATGTACTGTGAACTGATGCCCAGTTATTACCCTTTCAGGCCTACATAATGATCCATATAATAGAGTTTTTATTTCTAATTTTAAAAGGGTAAGGTGATGATTTATTTTTCAGGACTTAAGTAGTGTTTGGAGAAAGTATCATGGAAGTTCTGCGCCCACAGCTTATAACAATTGATGGACGGAATTACAGGAAGAATCCTATCCAAGAAAAGACTTATCAACACGAAGAAGATGATGATAACTTCTATCAAGGTAATCCTTGTTCTCGGGTCAGATTAGAAGTAAAATGTTCTCTATGCCCTGAGTTCAAACCTTCAAACCCCAGTACTGTCCAAAAAAAAAAAAAAAAAAAGTGCCAAGCATGGGTGGTTCACTCCTGTAACACTAGCTGCTTGGGAGGTTGAGATCGGGAGGATAGCAGTTCAAGGTCAGCTTGGGCAAAAAGTTCTTGAGACCTCATTTCAATCAATAAAAGCTGGGCCTAGAGGCAGGCATATGTTGCTCCAGCTACAAGGAAAGCATAAATAGGAGGATCATTATCCAGGTGGCCCAGGAATAAATGTGAGACCCTATCTGAAAAACAGTTAAAGCAAAAAGGGCTGGTGTTGTGACTCAAGTGGTAGAATGCCTGTCTAGCAAGCGCAGGGCCCTGAGTTCCTGAGTTCAAACCCCAGTTCTTCCATCCCTCCCTCTTCCCCCTCCAAAACAAAAAAACAAATACCCTGAGCTGTTGAGATGGGCTCTAAATACTTCCAGGGTACTTACCTTGGGCTCATGTTTAATGCGTAAACAGGGCCTTTCATGTTCTTTGTGACTTTCCCCTTTTGATTCATAAGCCTTTTCCCTGGGCCCTAGACCTTGGCGGGGGTGTGTGGGGGGTGGTCAGTCTGCCCTCTGATCCTCCCCATTATCTCCCATCAGCCTGGGGTCTGATGCTGATGCTCCTTTATTTCACCCTGCTCTCCCCTGCCCCCTACCCACTTCTCTATCTCTTTATCTCTCTCTTGACAGAGTATCACTATGTAGCCCAGGCTGGCCACAAACATTCAGTCCTCCTTCCTCAGCCTCTGGAGTGCTGGGATTACAGGCATGATGTACCATCATGTCCAGCCTTGTTTCTCTTTGTCTAGGCTGTATGGAGTAAGGTCTCCCAGTATTACTCCTGTTTCATTCAGTGAAGTAATTTTGTGCCCTAATATTAAAAACACTGAACTGCTTACTTTAAAAGGGTGCATTTTATGTTATATGAATTGTATCTCAACAAAAAAAAGTGAAAAAAATTTTTTTGGTGGCTTGCTAGGCAAGCACTCTATCACTTGAGCCATTATATGGCCCCTTTTTGCTTTAATTTGTTTCAGATAGGGTATTGTGTTTTTTCTGATCTTGAAACATGAACCTCCTGCCTATGCCTCCTCTGAGTAGCTGGGATTGTAGTCAGAAATCACCATACCTTGCTGTTTTTTTGTTTTTGTTTCTTTTTTTTTGATAAAAGGTCTCGATTACTTTGTTCCCCAGTCTGACCTGTAACTTTTATCCTCCTATCTCTGCCTCCCAAGGAGCTGGGATTACAGGCATGCCCTACCATGACTGGCCTGTAAAAAATTTTTTATTATGTCTTATCTTTCTAATAGAAAAGAGTTAAATACTATGCTGCTTTCCCAAGATCCTAAGACTGCAGTATATAAAATAGTCATTATGTGTTTTTTGCTCTTTATTTCTTGAAAGAGCATGTCAGGAGGAATTTGAGATATGTGGTCTGATGTGCCAAGCTGCCCTTTGTGCCTGTGCACTAACCTTTTTGAGTGCTGGGGGAGGTTGACAGCTGGGGAGAAGGCTCTTTCCCATGGAGCAGCAGTGTTTCTGAAGAGATGGTATGGTTTCTGTGCAGACTCCGTGGAGTATTCTGATGAGCCTTGTGATGCCTACGACGTGGAGCAGACCCCTCAAGGATTCCGGTCTACTGTGAGTGCTCCCAGCCTGCTCTACAAGTGAGTGACTGAGGTCCCCAGTGGCTTCACAGGGTGGCACTTCCAGGACACCCAGCAGGAAGCTGACTCCTAGTGTTTCACACTTGCTGCAATGCTTGATTACTAATGATAAAATAGTTTAGTGTTTTATGTCTTAAAATGTCAAAGGACTGATTACAGATTAATCAACTCCATGTGTACTGTCACATCCTGTTGACTTTGCCTCTTTTTTTTTAAGTTTTAGCAAGGATTTATTTTAGTATAGTAGGATAAACTATAGACGAGGTGGGGGGTAGTGGAGAAAAAGAGAGAGAACTATTTCCTGCCCTCATGCAGGAAATGGGAGCAAAGACTCCTTGACTTTGCCTCTTAAATATCTTTTGAATCCACCACTTACCTCTACACTGCTATCCCTCTCTGTAGATTTCTTTCTTTTTCATTTTTTTGGTGGTACTGGAATCTGAACTCAGGGCTTCACACTTGCTAAGCAGGTACTCTACCCATTGAGCTACACCTCCAGCCATGTGAATTTCTTAAAATAATCTCCTTAACTGGTCTCTCCACATTAATTCCTGCTTTCTTCCCAGTCAGTTCTTTTCTTTTGTTTTATCAGATAGGGTCTTACTATGTAGCCCAATCTGGCCCCAAACTCTTGATTCTCCTGCCTCAGCCTCTGGAGTGCTGGGATCATGGGCATGCCACACCATGCCTGGTTTGGAATGATGTTTTTTTCTGTTTTGTGGAACTGGGGTATGAACTCTTGGCTTCATGTTTGCAAAGCAGGTGCTCTACCTCTTGAGCCACAACTCCAACCCATTTTTGGAGATGAGTCTCATGAACTATTTGCCCAGGCTGGCCTTAACCAAGATTCTCTTGATCTCAGCCTTCTAAGTAGCCAAGATTATAGACATGAGCCACTGGTTCATGACTGGAATGATCTTTTTAAAAGGCAAGTCTGATTATTTTACCACCTCTGGTTAAAATCTATCAGTGGCCTTCATTGAAGATGGAATTCTAGTCCATTAGAGTAATGACTGAAACTTGAACATGACTTAGCTGGTCCTGTGTTTTTCAACTCACACTACTCTTTCCCTGGCTTCGTGCTTACACCTACCTGGTTTTCTTTAGTTTCTCACATGTGTTGTGCTCCTTCCTGCTGCAGAGCTTTTGTGTATGCTTTTCCTTTTACCTTTCTCATCTTATTATATTGTTCCCTAGAAAAGCCTGCTTTCACTCTAGTCATCCCTGCCAACCACATTGATTACCTCTCCTTTGTAGCATTTATCAATCTGCATTTTTATTTATTTATGTGCTATTTGTTAACGCCTCCACGAGATGGGAAGCTTCCTGAAGGCAGGAATGTGTCTGTTCCATTAATCCCTAATGTTTATCTAAGACTAATACACTTTTTCAGGGTCATCTTTATAAATTGCTTAGAACCTTTGTGATCGCTTCAGCCTGTTTGTTTATGTGGATGTGTGCCCACATTCTATCCCATATTAGCTGTTAATAGATAGTGTCAGCTAATATGGCCAACTGGCTTCTTTTGGGCTTACACCTCTGAAGTTAAGCTGAACTAGAAAGACCATAAATTATTGTTTCTTTTTGTTGTACCAGATGAATTAGGTGTGCTCTGAGAGGAGATCTACGAATATGGAGTCATGTGCATTTAGCTCCAACAGGCATTTATATCATCTTTGAGAGCATTCTGATACACCTGTAAAGGATGAACTCTTCCTGGGATGTGGCTAAATGGGAAAATAAAGCCTAGCCCTGATAGTTCACTTTCCTTGAACGTTCTGGTGACATTTTCCTCTAAGAAACATGATTTTAGAATGTTTTGGCTCAGTTTCCTGATTCTAACTTGATGTTTTTTTTTTTTTTATGGTGGTATTGGGGTTTGAACTTAGGGTCTCAGCCTTGCTAGGTAGGCTCTCCATCACTTGAGCCATACCAGATGACTTGCATGTTAAATTAGAGATTGGATCTTCTAAGTACTAATTGATAATATTTGCTATGGAGACTTCTTTCTTTTTTCTTTTTTGAGACAAGGTCTTGCTATGTAGCCCAGGCTGGCTTGAACTTGTTATAAGTTATCAAACTCATTATCCTCCTGCCTCAGCCTTCCAAGTGCTGGGACTATAGGCATGAACCACCATACCCATCTTCTGATGGAAGACTTTTTATGAATCATTTGTGTAGGCTTATTTGGGTCAAGGAAGAAATTATCTGGCTAAACTAATTTATAATCAAAGCCTAATTTGGCAACACCTGTCCATATTATATACTATAGTTCTCACCTTAGGTGAACATTAGAATCAACTTGGGAGCTTTTAAAAATCCCAAATGCCTGAGTGTATCCCAGGCCAATTAAATAAAAATCTCTTAGAGTAGGACCTGGGTATTATTATTGTTATTATTATTTTGTGTTATGGGGTTTGAACTCAGGGCCTCTTGCTTGGTAGGCAGTCACTCTACCATTTGAGCTACTCCACCAGCCATGTTTTTGTGTTGGGTATTTTTTTTTTTTGGGGGGCGGGGGCTATGGTTTGAACTCAGGGCCTACATCTTGAGCCACTCCACCAGTCCTTTTTTGGTGATGGCTTTTTTTGAGCTGGTTCTCTCAAACTGTTTGCCCAGGCTGGCCTTGAACCATGATCCTCTTGTTCTCTGTCTCCTGAGAGTAGCTAGGATTATAGACGTGAGCTACCAGCACCTGGCTTGTGTTAGGTATTTTTGAGATAGGATCTCGCAAAATGTTTTCCCTGGCTGACTTCGAGCTACAGTCCTCCTGATCTCTGCTTCCTGAGTAGCTAGGATTACAGGCATGAGTCCCCAGCACCTGACTGTTGTTGGAATCAACAGATGATTCCAGTGTGTAGCCAAGACTGAGAACCACTTGACCTAGTAGGAATTTCTACTTACATATTCAACCAAGGAGTTACCTTTCCACTGATTATCTGTGTTTATTGTAGTGAATGTTTTATATTTTCCATGTAAGCCTGTTTTGATCTTGCTGTACTGTTATCTGGAAGGAGGCAATTACGGATTTAGTAAGGATAGCATGGAGCCAGGCAGGGTGGTGTACATCAAGGCCAGCCTGGGCCTCATAGCAAGACCTTGTCTTAAAACAAAACAAAAAAACAAACGGACAGCATGGACTTCGGTGGAGATCTGGGAGGTTGCTCATATATGATTACATTTAATCCTTACAACAATCTTTTGACACATAGGTATTAGTGACTCCATTTTTTTTTTTCTATTTGTTTGTTTTTGGTGGTGGGTATGGGCCTGGGCCTTGTGGATGCTAAGCACATACCACATTCACTCTTTTCAGAAGTGAGAAAAAGGCCTAAAGTGCTTAAGTGACTTGCCCAAGGTTTGTTTGACTCTTAAAGCCTCATCAGTCTTCAACTCTTCAATCTCTTTCTAAGGTGCTGAAGTAGGCCTGGTGGAGTGGCTCAAATGGTAGAGTGTCTAAGGTGCTGAAGCCTAGACTACTTACAGCACTTTGAGCCCACTACCTTTTGTGATAGGCTTGTCCACTAGCCACATGCCAACAAATAGAAGCTGATTGAAAGCACTACTATTGATAAGACCTGGAAAGATGAAGGCCTGACACAGAGTTGGTATGATACAGTGTCTAGTCTAACACAGAGGAAAACAACAGGGAAATTGTAGAGGTCTAATCCTTTTATAAACTTCTTTTGTCTTGTTTTTTTTTGTAGTACTGGGTATTGAACTCAGGGCCTTGCACATGCTAGGTGAGCAGTCTATCACTGAGCTATTTCCCTAGCTCAACATCTTATTTTTTTTTTTAACTTATTATAGTAGATCTTAAAGGAAATAATTAGGGTTGGCCATTACATCTAAAAATAAATGAATAAGGATTGGGGTGTAGCTCAATGGCAGAGTGCATGCTTACATGTGTAAGGGCCCAGGTTCTATTCTCAGCACTCTTGAAAAAAAGAATGGTTTTAGACATAGTCACTCATGGTATTGGGTGTATATCTGAAATCATAGAAGTTGAAATAATGTTGATGGTAGGGAGTTCTTCTCTTTAACTTTATAGTCCTGTGATGGTCTCTTAGTGCTTTATAGACTCTGAAACTTCTCTCCTGGGATTTAGTAGTCTCATTCACTTTAACACATCTAGTTACTATGGGTTTCAGAAGACAACTTTGTATTGTCTGAGTTGTTTATAAGAGGAGGCCCAGGCAAGTTACGTAAAGGAGTCAGTAAATGATTGAAGTGAGGACAGAAGAAAGACCCTAGGGAGTGATGGGATTTTGATGAACTCATGTTCCATTTTCAGGGAGTTGTTAAGAGTTGGTTCCAGTCCATTTTTTCCCTGAGTCCTGAGATCTTTAGTGTTTCTAAAGAACTTGAAAAAACCACATATTTTAGATGAAATTTCCCAAATAAAATGTGTATATGCTAAATTCAGCACAAGGGTCACATTTTTACTCCCTGTGTTTTTGAATCTACCCTTTGTGGTGAACTCTGGTCTTTGCTAAGGTATGAACCCTTATTTAATTTTTTTATTTTAATGTTTTAATTTTATTATTTTTACATTTAACCCTTATTTAATTAATTAAAGACAATTCCTTTAGGATGAATACATAATATAGTTTGTTCTCCAACATGGTCAAGGTTCTCCTACTTCAAATTGTAGACCCATTGGTTGCTGAAAGTACCTTTTGAGATAAAAGCAGATTGTTGTTTTTTGCTGCACTGCAAACTCAGACTGAATCTAATTTTGAGAAGTAAGCAGGTTGGTTTGCATGTTTTTTCTGTCTATACATTGAATTAGTGACAGGCATCATTTTTCCAATGAGTAAAGTGCAGTATGCTCTACAAAGCTAGATGACTTGTAATTTTCTTCATAAATACTGAACTTTTAGTGAAGCACTTTCCTCTCAGGAATCACTTCTGGCCACAAGGGATTTATTGTGGTGGACTATTTTGACTTAATCCCTTTCTGTTAATTTTTGTATATTAGGCATATCGTTGGAAAGAGAGGGGACACTAAGAAGAAAATAGAAGTGGAGACAAAAACTTCTATTAGCATTCCTAAACCTGGACAGGATGGAGAAATTGGTGAGACTCAGTATATATATTTTACACTTACACTCACTTTTGCATGCTCATAAACCCAAATAAGGCAAGTAGTGACTTTGTTCTTTGGGATTCTATAACTACTTGCCTTTTTATGATACATCATATCAATCTCCCAAATGAGGAAAGATATAGACAACCTAATTTGGCTTTAGCAGCTGGGCCTTGATTTTGATCTTGACCATGTGCTGATGCAATAGAGCTTCCAGATTTCGGAGTGTATTAGATTTCTTTTATGCTTTGATAGCTCGAAGTAGAGTTTATGAATTGTTTCAAGTTAGAATTACAGAAAACTAATGAGATCAGCGAGTATGAAACAAAGTTCAGCCCTTTTGATATGTGTTCTCTAAGGTTTTCACTCTTGCTTTGTAGACTGGCAAGGAAATTGTAAGAGTAATGATTAAAATAATATAATCTGACTCAAATAACTGCTCACATGGGGAAAACAGTTTGATATTATAAATTAAGCCAGAAAGTGTCTACTAAGTGTCATTGTGAACCAAGGTCACAGGTTTTTGTCTTGTATGGCTTTAAGTGAGGGGCAATATAGAGACAACATTTTGAAAAACTCTTTGTAAAATGATAGGATTTTTTTCAAAGTCAAAAGTGTGCAGCAGCTGCCAAAAATCTATTTGTTTTCTGTAAGCACCCAAAGATTGTTATATTTTAACAGAAAAAATTGCTCTCATTTTGGGCTCTCTAAAAATAATGACCTTGATAGATAGTAACAGTTGACTTGAGAGCAGTGTTGTCTGAAGAACTTTCTGTGATGACAGGAATGTTCTGTATGTGTGCAGTTCAGAATAGGAGTCACCAGCCACATGTGACTATGAACTCTTGAAATATTGCTAGTGTGACAGAGGATTCAGGTTTTAAACATTATTTAATTCTAATTAATTTAACTATGGGCTCCCATATAGGATGGCACAGTACCAGAGGTTTCCCTCGTCCTTTGGTAGGGTAAGCAAACTCTAACATCAGAACTTTTTTTTTGCAGTTCTGGGGCTTGAACTCAGGACCTTCACCTTGAACCACTCTACCTGCCCTTTTTTGTGATGGGTTTTTTTGAGATAGGGTCTTGTGAACTATTTTTCTGGGTTGGTTTTGAACTGTGATCTTCCTGATCTCTGCCTCCTAAGTAGCTAGGATTATAGGCATGAGCCACCAGCGCCTGGCTACATCAGAACTTTTAACAACATTTTTAGAAGGACTTTTATTAAAATACATATTTGGCTCATTGGAATTATCAGTGCACAAACTCGAGTGTTACCTTAAGCTTTGAACTTCAAATTAGATATTTTGAGATAATTTTATAATTGTGTTAAAGTTTACTTCTGTATCCAGTTTTTTTCTGATTATAAAATAATACATGCTTTCAAAAAAATGAAAGTTTGCAGAAATTATATAGAAAGTAAGTACAAAGTGAAGTCTTTTGTGATATAAACTCCAGACATAATTGCTATTAACAGTTATTATATGTTCCTCATTTTTTCTATGCATGTAGTAACATATTTAAATTTTTATTGTAATAAAAATTCTAACATTGTATAACCATGGAGGCCTTAGCTATTTTAAAACACCAGGATCATTCCAGAACTTATCTAGGAAAGGGTAAGAAGGTTGTAAAGATTCCATTTTGATTTATCAGGAATGTCACAGTGTGAAAATCTAGTATGTCTAATTGTTAAAAGGAAGAATTTATTGGAACTAATTTGCTTGAAAAGCAATAGGATAAACTAGCTTACTGGTCTTGTAGGGAAACAAAGTATATGGAAAAATCAGATTGGTTAGAGTAAAGTGACTTGTGATGTGCAAACAAGACTGTAATTGTATTGGTATGGGATTTGCGGTCATTCATTCATTTTATTTTGCCTCTCCTAAAAACTAGAGAAGGAAATGACCTGGTAGGTTTTAATTTTTCTGATCTTTTCTGTTTTGATGTCTTAAACAATAGGATATCCAAAGAAGGTTTTAAAATGATACTGTCATTGCAGTTAGGGAATTACATTTTAAAGAACTTAACATAGGGCTGGGGTGTACTTCAGTCGTATTTTCTTAGCATGAACAAAGCCCTGGGTTCCATCCTTAGCAGCAGCACTACCGCCAAAACATATCAAATCGAACAAAACAAAGCAAGACAAAACCAATCAACATAGTGCTTTAGATTATTTTCCTTTTGTATATTTTCTGTTGTAGCCCTCAGACCCACATAAACACTGGTCTCTTCAGGTGTAGTATGTACACTATTTCTAACCCCACTGTATTTCCTCTTTAGTCATTGCTTGTTCAACTTTGACTTTTCCTGGAAATTGGTTTCTAAGCATCTTTCAGGTGTCCTGTTCAGCTTTGTGTTACAAAAATGAAGGCATATTTTATTATTTATTTAAAAAAAATAAATTTGTGACAGGGTCTCCCTTTATATCTCAGGCTGCTCCTGCTTCAGCCTCTGGGAGTGCTGAGATTACAGACATGCACTACCACACCCAGCCAAATTAAAAGCATTTTACTAATCTTGTTCATTACCAAATCACCTTCTTAAGTGAAAAACATTTAAACTGTGACAAAAGATATATAGACATGAGTTTTAAGCCCTTCCCTTTTCCTTTTAGTTTCTTACTTTATTTTTAATCTCTGGTAGAGATAGAGCTGTTACTTTAATTTTTGTTCCATTGATCTTTGAACCTTCTTCTTTTTGGATAGTGGTGGGGAGCAGAATCTCACTATATTCCTGATGCTCCTGCTTCTGTCTCCTGAGTGGTGGGGTTACAGGCCTGCACCATGACACCCAGCTTGAACCTTTCTTTTTTGTTATTTCTCCAGCACCGTGTTTGAGTATCTGCTATGATGGTTCCCAACACTGGATATTTGAGCCTTTTGAATTCTTAAAGTATTCTATCTGATAATGTACATTTAAAAAAAAACTACATGTCTCTACTCTACTTTTCCTTTTTTTTTAGCAAGACCAACGCCTTACCACTTGGCAACCATGCCTGCTCCTTTTTTTTTTCATAGTTGTTATTTAGTCAGGTTTTTACTGAGGGAAACTATTCTCAGGTTTCCTGTTAAGCTAGTCATAAATAGTCACAATTTATTTCTTTTTTTGTAGAAATTTCCATCTATTTCTCTGCAACAAAATAGGTGTAATACTTTCATTTTTATTGACATAGAAAGGTCATTCATACAGAAAATTTCGAGTGCTTTAAAGGGTGGTATTAGGACAAATAAATGAGATTTTTTTTTTTTTTTTAAACTTCTACAGTTGGCCTGGAAGGAACAGGCTTTGTGATCTCCAGAGTGCATAGCACATTTTACAACTATGGTACTTAGTACTTCAGTATTTTGTGTGATATTTCAGAAATCTATCCCTTATATTTTAAGTCTGTTGAAATACCAATTTTGTAAACTATTTATTTCTCTTCTTAGTTTCTGTCTTGGTAAGCCTTGCTAGTTCTAAAACCTGAAGTGTAATTTTTACTTAGAGATTGTTAATTGCTAAATAGTTTTCTTTCTTTTTTTTTGTGCAAACAGTGGTCTAGGTTTTGTGGATCCCCTCCATTCTCTTTCTCTTCTTTCTTCAGACAGGGTCTCACTATGCAGCCCAGGCTGTCCTCAAATTCTCCATCCTCCTGCCTCAGACTCCGGAGAGCTGGGATTACAGGTGTGCACCACCACACCAGCCCTACCTATTTTATTTATTCTTGAAGACATAGCACAGACCAAAATGTAAACTTGACATCCATAAATACAATGTATGTATAGATAAATCTTAAATTTTCTGCTTTCCTACAGGAGTATAGGATTATTTTCTAGTAGACGCCACTTTGTTATAGTGAATCACTAATATTAAATTTTGTCACAGTATTTTTTTTTTAATCCAGGTAAAAGTTACATAGCAGAAAATTTAGTTTTTTGGCCCTTAATTGCTATTAATTTCTTGGAGATATATCTTTCTTTTTATTGTGGTAAACTACACACAGCATACAATATACCACCTTGAGCATTTAAACTGTTGAATTCAGTAGCATTTAGTACATTCACAGTGTTCTGCAGTCATTACCACTACCTATTTCAGAACATGTTGTCATTCCAAAATGAAATCCCATACCCATTGAATAGTCACTCCCCATTCTACCCTAACCTCACCCTTCAGCTACCCCCAGTCTTCTTTCTGTGTCTATGAATTTCCCTATTCTGGGTATCTCCAGGAAATGGAGGCATACAATAGATGACTTTTTTGTGTGTGCACATGTGGTGCTTGGGATTGGGTACAAGGCCAGGGGCACGCTAGGGAGGCACTGTACTGTTGAGCTACACACCATACTCAATAGGTAGCTTTTTCTGTTTGGTTTCTTTCATTTGGCATCATGTTTTCAAGGTTCATTTGTGTTATATGTGAATATGTCATTCCTTTTTGTGACTGAATAGTAATTCCACTGTGCAGAAATATTTGTGTATCCATTCCTCAGTCAATGGACATTTGGGTTATTTGTCCCTTTTGACTATTATTGTGAATAGGATATTGTGTATAGGATTTTTTTTTTGGGGGGGGAGGGCACCTATTTTTACTTATTTTGGGTATCTCTAGAGTAGAATTGCTGGGTCATCTGGTAATTCAACTTTTTAAGGAACTGCCAAACTTTTCCATAGCATCCACACTATTTTTATTCCTGTCAGCAGTATACAAGGGCGTGCTTTGTAGATTTTGAACTCCTTTTTCTACTTCATTAGTTAGTCTTAAAGATACTCTGTTTTGAACCTCTCTCCGAGGAGATTGAATTCATTAACAGCTTTCTTCGCCTCAGCACTGACCCGTTCAGGGCGTATAAACATTGAGAACCTCTGTAGCTCTCTAGAGATGACCGTGTCAAGAGGGTGTGCATCTTAGAAGCATTTGGGAGTCCTTGAGCATGTTCATCTTTCCCTTTGCTTACAGTGATCACTGGCCAGCATCGAAATGGTGTCATTTCAGCCCGAACTCGGATTGATGTTCTTTTGGATACTTTTAGAAGAAAGCAGCCCTTCACTCACTTCCTTGCCTTTTTTCTCAATGAGGTTGAGGTTCAGGAAGGATTCCTGAAGTTCCAGGGGGAAGTACTGGAGAAGTGCTCCATGGTAAGTAGCAAATAAACTCAAAAAGTTAAAAAAATAAAAGTCAAATATGAAAGAAAGAATATGTGAAAGCAAGATACTGTGGCTCATGCCTGTAATCCCATGTACTTGGGAGGCAGAGTTCAGGAGGATTATGGTTTGAGGACAGCTCAAGCAAAAAGTTCCGGAGACTCCATCTCAATCAATGAAAGCTGGATGTGGTGGAACATGCATGTCATCACAGCTATGCAAGAAGCATAATAAGGAGAACTGTGATGTAGGTCAGCCCAGGCAGAAACTCAAGACCCTGTTAGAAAAATACCTAAAGCAAAAAGGGTGGGGACATGGCTCATGTGGTAGAGCGCCTACCTAGTAAGCAGGAGGCCCTGAGTTTAGCTGCCAGCACACCAGAAAAGGAAAAAGAGATTATAAAAATGGTTCATAATTTGCCAGATGCCAGTAGCTCAAGCCTATAATCCTAACTACAGGATCTGGGTTCAAGGCCAGCCTTGAATAGGCCATAAGACCCCATCTCTGGAAAATAACCACAGCAAAATGGGCTGGAGTGTTGCTCAAATGTAGAGTGCCTGCTTTGTGAGTGTGAAGCCCTGAGTTCAAACCCCATTTCCATTAAAAACAAAAAAAAAAGATTCATAATTCAAACTGTAAGAAGGTATAATCTTCTCCCATCATTGAAAGGTAACTATTTTCTGATTGTCTCTTCTAATACTGAACTGAAAAAAAGTATTGACATATCTTACCATAATTTTCTATATATTATGTGTACAGTTTAAAAAAATTGAAGACATGAATGACCCATCTTTGGGTCTTCCCTACCTGTGGCTCTGTGCTAACGAGATGACATATCTGAAGACCTCTGCCTTCAGGATGCTGTGGAGTATTTGTATTAATGTGACTGAAAAGTAAACTTTTGTATAGAATTGTCACGTTGAAGTGTTTGTGACTAGGATAATAACAGATAATCCAGATTAGAAAACAACTTTTAAAATTCCTTTTGGAATTAATTTTCATTGATTAAAAAGTTTATTGACTTAAAAATTAATGATAGCAATATATGTTTATTTTATAAAATTTAGAAAATACAAAAAAGACTAGTAAGAAATCATCTATAAATCCTACCTCTGAGACAATATTGTGCCATATTTTCTTGTAATGTTATGTGCATGTGCGTATGTATAAATGTGTATTAAGATTTCTCTTCCTTCCTTCCTTCATTCCTCCTTTCCTTTATTCCTCTCTTCCTTCCTCCCTTCTTCACTCTCTCCTTCCCTCTTTCTTGTACTGGGGTTTGAACTCAGGGCCTCAAGCTTGCTAGACAGGCACTCTACCACTTAAGTCATTCCACCAAGCTGTTTAAAATTTGTTTTATGTATGACTTTATATTCTGCTTGCTTTGAAATACAGCATTAATATCATGAGCATTGTTTTGTTATTGAAAAAAGCTTAAATCATTGACCTATTCTTTTTAGATTAGATAGGAATTAATAGCAGTCATAACTAAAATAACATAACCTGATTTAATATGCTATTTAGATGACTTGGCTTTATATATTTACTTTTTCTTAAGGGTTCTTGCTATGTTTCCCAGACTGGTCTTGAACTCCCAGCCTCAAGTGATCCACCTGCTTCAGCCTCTGGGGTAGCTGGTATTACAGGTGTATAACATCACATCTGGCTCTGATGACTTGATTTTCTTTTTGTTTTAGTGGAACTGGGGTTTGAAATCAAGGTTTTGCATTTGCAAAGCAAGTACTCTACTGCTTGAGCCACACCTCTAGTCCTTTTTTTCTGTGGTTATTTTTTGGATTTGGAGATGGGGGTCTCATGAACTATTTGTTGGGGTTGGCTTCAAACCTCGAGCCTCCCATGAAGCTAGGATTGTGGGCATGAGCCATGGGTGCCTGACTGACTTGATTTTTTAATGGCTACCTAGTATTCCATCATGTGGATATATGGTTATTTGACCTTCTTTTATTGTTTCTGTTTTTCATTATGATAAGTAATGCTGTTATGAGTAATCCAAATATATTTTTCTGCACTAGTGTGATTAGTTCTTTCTTTTTTTTCTTTTTTGTTTTTTTTTTGGTGGTACTGAGGTTTGAACTCAGGACCTCACACTTGCTAGGCACATGCTCTACCACTTGAGCCATTGCCACAGCCCTAAAATTTTTTTATCTTTAAAATTATCTTAGGGAAAAATTGACTTTTTTGGGTGTACATTTGTATAAATTCTGACATGCATATAGGTTGTCTAACCACCACCATAATTAGAATACAGTACAGAAACTATCTCAGCACTCCTCCATGCATTCCCTTCAGAGTCACCTCTCCAACTACAGCAGCAGTCCCTGATACCTTTTTTAGTTTTGTCTTTTTTGGGAGTGTCATATATAAGTGCAATCAAATACTAGGTAACCTTTTGTCACTGGCTTCTTTCACTTGCACAATGCCTTTGAGATGCTTCTAAGTTGTATCAGTTGTTCCTCATTCTTGCTCAGTAATATTCCACTTTGTGGATGTGCTACATTTTATTTATCTGCCTATTGGAGGATATCTTTGGGGTTTTTCAAGTTTGGGGCAATTAGGAATACAAGTGCGACAAACATTTTTGTATAGGTTTTTGTGTGAACGTAAGTTTTCATTTCTTGTCAGTAAATATCTAGGAATGGAATTATATTTAGTTGGTGTGTATTTAACTGTAAGAAACTGCCAAGTTGTTTTTAGAGTGTTTTCACCATTTTGCATTTCTACTAGCATCTTGAGAATTTCAGTTTCTGTGGATCACACCAGCATTTGGTATTGTCACTGTTTTTTATTTTAGCCATTCTAGTAGGCATGGAGTGACATTTTACTGAGGTTTTAATTTACATTTCTCTGATAACTACTGATGTTGAAAAGGTTTTTTTGTTTTGTTTTTTAAGTCATCCTCATATCCTTTTTGGTGAGGTTCATGTCTCTTGTCCATTTTAAAATTACATTTTTTACTGTACATTTGTATGTATGTATATATATTTTCTGGATAGAAGCTTTTTCAAGAATACGTAATTTGCAGGTATTTTCCCCAGTCTATGGTTTTTCTTTTCAATCTCTTATTAGTATGTTTCAAATTTTGATGACGTCTAGTTTGATTTTTTTTTTTTCTTTTATGGTTGCTACTTTTTTTTTTTTTTTTTTTTGGTGGTTTGAATTCAGCTTTGCACTTGCTGGGCAGGAGCTCTATCACTTGAGCCACACCTTCAACCCTGTATCTACTTTTAATGTCATGTTTAAGAACTCTCTGCCCAATTGCAAGATATAGAGGTTCCCTTACGCTTTCTTTTAGAAATTTTATGGCTTTTTTTTTTTTTTTGATTTTTTATATTTAGTTTTATGATCTAGTTAATATTTGTATAACGGCACTTGCCTAGCACGCTGAAGGCCCTAGGTTCCATCCTCAGCATCACATACCCCACACAGAAGTACATGTATGGTGTGAAGTTTAGGTCAAAACTCATTTTGTTTTGTGTATGTATGTTCATGTTGTGCTTTTTTGATCTTGTAATGAAGAGAGGAATAAGAGCATTTGGAAAAAATAGAGCAGTGGTTAATATCTTTGGTTCTTGAGACAGTTGGATCAAGATCTGACTTTGGATTCCTTAATCTGTCAACACTTAAACAAATGAATTCCAGATTTTTAAAAAATTTCTCCAAATCTTTGGAGACTTCTTGGGAGGGTTGTAGGAAGGTTAGATGAAATAAAGAACTCAGCATGGTGCCTGATCCATAATAAACATTTAATGAGTGGCAGCTGCTACTTCTGTATTTACTGCTGGCTAGGTTAGCGTTGTATCATTTGGAGTGTTATGAGTAGATGAAGGCTAGCTTTGATAGTTGTGGGCAGCATCAATGAAAATGTTTTAAGTGAAAAAATTTAAAAGGTCCTTTCTTCTTTCCTCCTTTGCTTTTTTTTCTTTTCATTTTTCCTTTCCTTTCTGCTGTCATGGCCATGTTGCTAAAGCTAAATCTTAGGTGTTAGGGTCATAGATGTTAGAAGATGGTGAGAGGTAGATATACAGGTATAGAAGTATTAGAAACCATGCACTTTTGTGTGTTATGAGAGAATTGGTAAAATTAGCTATTTAAGGAGATTTTGAGCCAGGTGTGGTACATGTCTGTAATCCCAGCACTCAGAAAGCTGAGACATGATGATTATATGTTTGAAGTCAGCATGGACTTCGTGGTGAGACCCTATCTCAAAAAGAGAGAGAGAGACAGAGAGACAGAGAGACTATGAATTTGAGCAGTTAGACTTCATGTAGGATTGTATAACCCATTTTTAAATGACTGACTTGGCTTTTTGGTGCTTAAATGAGGTCATACCTGTAAGTCAGATGCTAGAATATATATAGAGATATGTGGATGTTATTAGTGAACCATCACAACATCATTTTCCCCTTAACGTTTCAAACTAGGATGATTTCATTCTCCTTAGGAACAGAGGAATACCAAAATGTCATTTATAGGCTGGTGATTTTTTTTGGTGGAGAGAGGTTGGTAATTTTGAAATTATTTTACCTCGTAAATGCCAACTAGTTGAAGTTTAGTCATTCTTTGTTCCTTAGAATGTTTCATATGCCTTGTATAAAGCAAGTAGATTTTTAATAAATTAGTCTTTTTTTTCTTTGTGTATGTGTGTGTGTTATTTTTCATTTTCTCACTTTTCTTTTGGCTGCTGGCATGGTCTAATGGGGAGCAAATATTGGAAATATTTTAATTCAGTCAGAATGAGACTGTCCACTATGCACGTCATGCTGGTCTTAATCAGTGTGAAGTACTTCCTTCCTGCTTTCAGGTAGTCTACCTACTGACATAGCCTCTTTCCTGCTTTTAAATCAGGCCCTGATAACAGGAAATAAACCTAGCATAAAAGAGGAAATGAAAAAGGGACCATTCTCTGCATTATATGGAAGAGATTTTTAGTGACTTTTATTGTGATCTTAGAGTGACAGGCAGATGGCTATGAAAGCCTGTAGACATGT